CCAACGACAAGAAAGGAATACTAAGCAAGAGACATAGAAAATATTTCTTAGATTCTCAGTTAGCCATCATTGAATAAAAAAATAAAAACAACATCTCAATTTATCATTATTCAATTACAAAAACGTATCAATTATATTTCAATTCAACATTATTAAATAAAAAAAATGAAAAAGAAAGCAAATATCTCAATTCAATATCATTAAGTTCTAAAAAATAGAAAGACATTAAAAGAGGAGTATTTGAAATACGATATTCAAATATGTCTCAGCTATCAAGCATCATTGAACCATATTAATAGAACATAAAAAAATTTTAGAACAACATCACTAAGTTTAAAAATAGAGAATATTAGAACAGTAGCATTTGAAATAGAAATTAAAACATTTCTCAGTTATCAAGCATCATTGAACCACATTAATAGAACATAAAAAAGTTTCAGACTAACATCATTGAGTTTTAAAAAATAGAGAATATTATAAGAATAATATCTAAAATAAGAATTAAAATATTTCTCAGTCATCAAACATTATTCAATCACACTAATAAAACATAAAAAATCTCAAATAAGCATAATTAAGTTTTTAAAGCAAAGAACATTATAAAAATAGCACATGAAATAAGAATTAAAACATTTCTCAGTCATTAAACATCACTGAACTAAATTAATAGAATACAAAATTTCATACTAGTATCATTGAGTTTTAAAAAATAAAGAACATTATAAGAATAACATCTAAAATATGAATTAAAATCTTTCTCAGTCATCAAGCATCATTGAATCACATTAATAGAATATCAAAAATCTCAAACCAGCATCATTGAATTTAAAAAAGCAAAGCACATTATAAGAGTAGTATCTAAAATAGAAATTATAATCGTAGACACATTTAGCTTTAATTAGGCATCATTGAATTACAAAAACTAATCACAACTTTGTCATATTCTCAGTTTATCATAATACAATAAAATGAATAAAATAGAACAAGTTGTAAGTTAAGTCATGATTCACACAAAATTGAAATTCCTAGTCTCAATAAGTCATAATACAAAAAAAAAAGCAACTTAAAATATTTTAAATATCTAAAAACCTCAATGATGATACAACCCAAGTCCCAACTTAGTTGCCACCTCTTCCTTCTCAGTTCGTTCTTGTTATAATTTTTTCCTTTCACCTTCAACTTCAATCTCCTCCAACACAATCCACATTGGCTTAGAGCATGAGATTTGTTCAATTGTTTCAATCAAAGGAAAAAGAAAAACTATATTACGATAATATATCATTAAATGATAAATTTATTAATATACTAAAACCTAAAACATACACTTTTATCTATTTTTTGGTTTCATTTTCTCTCAATCTATCATATTGACATAGATCTATTTTTTTTTTCTCATCTGTTAATCTTAGCACATAAAAAATCCTAAACTTACCATCATTTTTTTGTTACTCTTCTGTCAACATCTTTTTCTCTATTTTTTGGTTTTATTTTTTGGGTTAAAAGGGTTTTTTTTAAATCATAAAAGGATGAAAACCAAGAATAAATTGAGGGTAGTGGGAAATTGAGACAATGTACAACATGGAAAGGGAAGAAGTGTCGAAAGGCTTCAGCAGTGTAGGAGGAGAATTAGAAATCCCTGCCCCTTTAAACTTACACTACTTGTCCCTTTTTTTTTTTTTTTACTTTATGAGAATGGTGCGTTTGAATGTACTATTTATCATATTTTTTCCTTCAAATCTTTATTTTACTTTCTTCCTCAAATATGTACAAGATAAGAAAAGATTTAGGAAAAAAAAACATTCTAATTGATTGTCATTAAAATTCAAGAAAAGGTGAGAACTAAACTTGAGAAAAGTTTATGTTTTTAATTTAGGATTATTTATTTGTGAGTTTGGTGAAGCTAAAAGGTGAGATTTTTAAGAAATTAGTAAATAGTGTTTTGGATTTTGTTTGTTTTTGTTTAGAATAAAAGATAGGATTTGGTCGTTTAAAGTTTGGATTTTGGTAATGGGTGAAAGAGATGTTGAAGTGCAAGATTTTACATTTTTTTGGTTGTTTATGAGAGAAAGCGAGTTGAAGAGATCCAATCAATTTAGCTATAAAATGCAATATGAAGTATGAATCATTTGCTTGTTGTACCAAGTAAAAAGTTTGGAGAAAAAAAAAAGAAAAACAATACACAATCCTAAAGAAGAAGATAATAATAGTGTAAATGAATACACGTAGCAGAAAAAAAAATAAAAAATATAAAGTTAACATTATTAAAAAAAATAACTTATTTAAAACATTTTTTAAAGTAAAAAAAATAAAAATAATCAAAATATAAAATGACAAAATTAAATTTAATCTTTAAATAATAAAAAAAAATATTAATTTTATTAAAAAAAAATTAGTATACACATTATAAACCTATGGCACTGAATATATATATATATATATAAAGTCTACGAATAATTTTTTTTATTCTGTTCGTATGTTGAAATTTCACAAAATTAATACTTTATGATGGATTTTAAAAAATAATAATAATTTAATAAGACTATCAATATTAACTTAATATTTTTGGATAATATTATATTTTTGTATTAATATATTAGTTTTATACTTTTGTTAACTCCAATCTTTTAAGCTATCAATAACAATAAAATTTTATTAAAAAATAAAATACTTAATATACTTGTATATCTCTAATAATGTAATAAATATTTTATTCACAATAAAATCTTTTCAAATAAAAGCTAAAATTAAACTGAAAAAAAAAATACAAGTGTAAATTGTGCTTCACATGGTAGTTGAGTAAAAGAATTTGGACACAATCTAGTTGCATTATTCTAACGAACAACTAAACCACCAGCACTTTTGTTAATTACTAGTACTTTAGTTGAAATTAAATAGTGAAATAGAAGTCACAGGGAAAAGCTAAACGACATTAACGGATCAAGTTTCGCCGTAAAGGTTGACCAGACTCACGAGACGACGATGGAGGGGAAGTGGAAGAAAAGGATCAACGAAAGAAACGGCAACCAATAGAAAATTAGAAATATTCATGCAAAAGCAAAGATTAAATTTCTATTTAATATGGAAACATGCTGAAATTTATTCTAGAGTTGTTTTTTAACAATTTTTATTAATATTAAATTTTATTAATTTAACTGTTAAATTAAAAATTACTTTTGAATAGATAAAGTTATTATTATTATTATTATTATTAAGAGTGATATAATATTTTTATGGTAATCTTTTTATATAAATATATTTATTTTCTTATTTTAACCATGATTTTTGTTTTGTTTATTCTTTATATATAGTTGTCTTGTACATTTTAATATTAAAATTAATTAATAATGATGTGTGGATTATATTTTTTCTTGTTATAATGATTTTGTTTTTTATTTGATTATATTTTAAATTTTGAAGATTAAAATTTACTTATATTTTTTTTATTACTTTATATAAATTTTTAAATTTATTTACAAATACCTATTTTTATATTTATAAAAAATTATTATTTTATATAAAATTTTAAATTTATTATAAATAACTATATTACATTTATAAAAATTTTCTTATTAGTATAAGTATAAACTTCAAATATCTTATAAATACTTATGTTTATATTTATAAAATTTATGATATTTAATATATTGTTTACAGTATTCGCAGTCAAAATTTGTAGTAATTGTATATTTAGTTTAAGCCAAAAATTCATGTTTTTTTATACTCAAAATTATAGAGTCTATCACTTTTGTTTTTTTTTTCTTTAAAATTTATATTATTCTCAAATTCTTTCTTATGCATTTTTTTGATTAATTATAATAAATTTATTTTTAACATTAGACTATTTTATTCTTCTCTATCTATCATAATATCATATATATATATATATATATAATGAGTATACTTTATGACATATACATACTTTAAACAATATATTACGATACTGTATATTTAAATTACATTTTTATTGAGATCTACAGCATAATTTTTCTAATATTTATTAGTATATTATATTGATTGGTTTGATAATTATATGGAAAATTTTGTCTTTCAATTTTTATATTGTATTCTAATGTTTTGATATTTATAAAAAAAATTAATTATTAAATTTTATATATTTATTTTAAAATAAAATACATGTACATTGCATAGATTATACTAAATTAATTTGGTTTTAAAAAACAAATAATAAGGAAATATGCTCTCAATTTTATTGTTATATTCAATCATAAAATAAAGTGTATTTATAAGCATGGAATTAGGGAATCTTATTTCATCTTCAATAACATCAATTTTTAATATATCCTGAAAATTGAAGTTAATCGATTTAAAATTAAATAATGAACTTATCCTATTAATGATCATATACAACTTAAAAACTAATTTACATTGTTAAAAATTTAATTAAAAAATGAATCTACATCAAAATTTAAAACCTCAACTTTAAATGTACTTAATGAAATTTAAAATATTCTTTTTTTATCAAACAATAAAATATATAAGTGTATCACACTAAATTACAAACGCGCTATAAATTAGTAAATTGTAATTTAAAAGCACATTAAAACATTAATGTTTTAATCATTTTGGTTTCCCAAAGTATTTGACTACTTAGTAAGTAATAAATAGACTATTGTTCCAGGATACACCAAATTTGAGAACCTCTCTAACTAAAAATTTTTTATACACATAAATTTTAAAATAAAAACTAGGATCACAAGCTTAAGGAATCTCAGCTCCTTTCTACATGTTGGAATCTAGTCTCATGATTGCTGTAGTTGCAACAATCAATCAAGTCCTTTCATCATTTTCCTTTGTATAGATGGATGTGGTCATATCGTGTATAATTTATATGAAGTTAGCACTCTTAAACTAAAATGGATGTGGTGCACAGTTAGGCAGAATAGAAAAACATTTGATAACTGAAAATTGTTTTAGTAAAAAGTAATTGTAATTCTGGAAGAATATAAAAGAATAAAATAACACATTAACACAACACCTTGCGAAGCAACATAAACATTCTGCTTTATGATAATATAACGTGCTTCAAGTAAAGTAGAAATAAATTATTAGTCATAAAAAGTGACAAATGAGATAGTTTTCTAAATGGTAAATACTAAATAAACAAATAGCAGTTGTGAAAACAAAATATATGGAACACTATCAAGACAAAAATAGCTTACACTGGGGTTGCCAATAAAATACATAATTGAATCCAAAATATTTCGTCACAATTGGACTAAAATAATTTCAACAGGATGTATGGAACTATTACCCTTCGGGTGCTGAACATGCCAATCTCCACAGCATGGCTTCTAACCATTGAGTAGAGTATACAAATGAGACAGTGAAAACTTCAAGGGTATGATTTGAGGTGAAAAACTTGGCATGCTGGCTTGTATGCCTTCTTAGCTGAAGCTTGTTCAAACTTCTTTGCAGCGGTTTCATTTTCTTCTATTCTAGTCTGATAGAAAAACCTTATCCACCAAGAGGAGCTACGCAATTTGGCCTTCATAAAAACAAATCCCAAAAAGGTAATTATTTTGTGTAATACCAAACACTGGTCAATAATTTCCCATTATTACCAATGACATGTGCAATATGCTTAGTTTTTTGTAATATTTTCCTTCTCCAAATTTAGGCTACACTCATTATTATTTATGAACATCAAAATGATTTGGTCATTCTCCATTAACGAATGTAAAGGAAACAATTAATCAAGTAACTTGATACTGCCCAGGGATTCAAATTCATATTAACAAATGACGATATGAACAGAATGTCAATTGTCAAGGAAATTCATTTTTATGTTCTTCCAACACTTGTTTGATTAGCTTAATTCAGTATTGCCCAAGGATCCAATCTATATCTATAACCAAGTAACAAACCCACTCTCTTCTATGTTTCCAATTCGAGCTTTTTTCTAATTAAACTTGGGTATTAACAGATCTCAAGATGATAAGTCCAAAAAATGAGCAACCACTCCTAAACTGAAATCAACTTGGTTGGAGAATTCTCCTAATATTGGTTACAATCTGTTAAAAATTGATCTATCACCAAGACTTCCAAATGCATTTCAGCCCATTAAGTTTCATTTACGTGAATCTATGATTATAACCTTCTAAGCCCTTTCTGTACTTTCCTTTTGTACTTCTAATTAAAATAAATTTTTAACCCTTTCATCCAATTATTTATACTAACCACCAACACATTCTCGTATAGAAAACCCCAAAAGAATTGCACAACTGGTAAATTTGCAATCAACTTGATATGATGAAGTCATATAAATCAGTCTTTCTAACAACAGCAAAACCGCATGTAATGCCTATGTTGTCAAAAAGATATCTAATTTAACAAAAAAATAATCACTTACTGGACGACCAAATTTAGCCACTTCACCTCTTGCTCTCTGCTGACCCGGATAACCTATGAATGAAAAATGAGAAATCAGGAGAAAGAAAGAACAAGTGAACAAATACTTAAGGAGATGCTTGGTTTGAGAGAATGTTTTCTATTTTCATCTTCTATTTTATTTCCACTTTTAATTACAAAAATGTTACTTTGTTTTCATTTTGTTTCTTCTTTTCAAAGATGTGCATAGCAAATTTTTCTTATTCGAAGTTTTAAAAACTGGAAAAGAAATGAAACAAGGTGGTATTTTTGTAATTGAAAGTGGAAAAGTAAAAAAAACCATTTTCTCAAACTAAGCAGCCCCTAAAATTCCAACACACCCAACATGTGTTGTTTGAAAAAAAAAATAGTGAAAAGAGCATGATTTGTAGACAATCAAAGACAGCTAATATCACCAGTTTATCATGTCTGGCTTTACCTAGATGAATATAGCCCTAAGCAGCCAAACAAATATTCCAAAACAAATTCCTAAGGTAGACCAAGTACTAGACTAAGTTCCAATATGTAAAAGCATAAGCCGATAGAATAGAAGCTTCACAAGGGAACACACCTGAAAAGACAACAACACCATCAGCAGATACCCTAACTAACTCTGGCATGGTTTTATTCAGATATCTTGGAGATAAGTAATCCAATGCATCTGACACAATGACCAGAGAAAATGACTTTGCACGGTAGGGTAGAGGAAACTTTATGTCAGCCACACGCACAATGCCCTTGCGTACAAGACTTTTACACTTTGCACCAGCGTCATCTAATTCATATGGTTCTACTCCCCAAGCCTCAGTATCCTCTTCTACTAACAAACTAGATACCACAGAACAAGAGTCAGGACCAACATGCAAAACCTTATGCATGCTGTCTCCATATGCTTTCTTCAAAAAGGGCAATGCTTGCAGGACTTCAAATGTGCACGATGCACCACCTGTATGAATACACTAGAGCTGTTATTGTTCAAAATTTGAAACCAAAAGTTCTATATCAAATGCCTCAAATATGTACCAACTTACAATACACAAAAGATGTTAATAATGTCTAGCGTACGAATTATCATACAGTCAAGTTCCCAGTAAGAGTCTAGACACCAGCCATACAGATTATGACACAGCATCATCTAGTAGCCAATTCTTTATTTGCTCATATGTTTAGGATAATAAGAAGAGCCTATCTGTTTGCAGCTTTACAGTTTCCATTTTCAGTAAATATAGAAAATACTAATAAAATTAAAATGGGTTGGATTTTAAGAGAAATTTTATCTCGGAATTAGTTTCTAAATTGGATTGGAAATGAGAAAAATCAAACTTCACACTTATTGCTCTTGGGTGGTTTTACTTCCTCTAGATGTGAACAAGACCCACATTTTTTCTCAACTTTCTCTCTATAATGACAGACACTACTTCACTCCAGTCAGCCAAACTACAAGCCCCATTCACTTTGCTTGAGCTCCAGTGTTGATCTGATCTATAAATATCTAATGGTAAAGAGAGAGGGAGGCAGGGGCAGAGTGCACATAAAAATCTCATGAACTCTGGTGGGGATTCAACAGAAGACCAAATAGTCACAATTTCCCTCATTGAGCATCAACCTATGCCAATGATGTAGACATAGTAGAAAGTATACAGTGTCAATATAACTAATTCACAACACAAATTTTCTAAATATGAAAATTTGAAGATAAATACAAATTTGCAAAAGCTCATTATGTGCATGCCAAGAGAGAAATACCAACGAATTAAAAAAAATAAAAGGGGACCCACAAAACATTAACGAAATTTAGAGGAAATGAGACATTTCAATGATTCCATACCACAGTTTCATACAAACACTTCCCTAAGCTGTCTTACATGAAGATGTTCTGCAAGCATAAGAATTTTAAATAACAAAACAATAGTTTTATTTACCTTCAAGTTTATTTACATCCTTAATATCAATGCTAGCTCCACCTGCCATTTGACCAAACAAAGAGTCAATATTAGTATCAATGGAATTTTATAGCAAATGCGAGTTTACAAAAACAGAATATCTTCATTGTTAGTTTATGCAATGATGTCTGACACATTTTCGTATTTACACTGATATTTTCTTGCTGAAATTGACAAATTAAGAATGACTGAATGATTATGACACGATGAGCTAGGATCTATGAGGCTAGCCAATATTTATTGATCTACAAGCCAACACAACCTGTATTTGTTAGGTTTCCTGTGAAGACATAACTTAAGTTAAAGATATTTACTACATTTTACAAGGTGATAGAGGAATTAACACAATTCCCTTAAAATGAGTCAGGCTAATTCTCCAAATCCGCTTGAAATAAGTTTGACAGAAAAATCAGCCAAGCTCAACAGAGGATTTTTGTTCACTCTTATATTTTTGACTACGATGTGCCTTGCCTGTGGACAATTTATGTTATCATTCCACGTATACATAGCCTGAGGTCACAGTTGCTACATATTTTAATTTGTTTTCCTCATTTTTCTTCAATTCCGTTGACCATATCCATTTTGGGTACTCCACTGTACTGTTTCATGACCCTAGCATCCTCTTAATGAACAAAAGTCTGGGTCCAAGCATATTAAACCCAAACTAGTTGTAGAATATTCAGCTCTAAAAGACTATAACCAAAGTCAAAAGTTTACTCTATTTGGTATTTGAAACACAAAATTTGGAGCTTGACAAATTCAAATTCCTTCTTCTAGTTTTTGATAAAAGATCCTTTCTTGACTTCAAGTTAACAGATTAGTTACCAACCTGAACTGCTGTAACAATAACCGATCAGGAGGATTGCACCCTGAAAAATTGTAAATATCAATTTAATAAATACATTATGTGTTGACAGCAAGCAGTGATGAACATAATTGATAAAGTAAATTAATAAAACTGTATATTAAGTAAAGAACAGAGGGAAAGCAAGTACAAAATATCATGAACGCAGGATGAGTTTGGTGCACATACAGTACATCAAACAGACACGTGGAAAATATTGCACGTTAAATTAATCAACCAATACCAGACTATTTCCATAATGAGATACACATTTCAAAGAAAATGTACCACAATTACAAGCCCAATAGATAGTAGGGGAGAGTTCTGAGATTTAGACTGGATAGATGCCACAAACGGTATACTTCCCCCATCAGCCAACCGACGTGATGGATTTACTGGCCTCCTTGACATGATAAAAGCAACAAGCCTTCAGACCTAGAACAAGTAGCAACAATCTCAGTTGTGGTGTTTCAATAAAATTGTTTCTGTTGCCTAAGTTGCATGTATGACTGTAGTGTTTGCTGCCAAATTTGTTTTCCAAGAGATAAATTTCTCTTAAAAACAAAGCCAGCCATTTAAAAGTAGTCGTGAAGGAAATAATAAGAACTGCACAATAAGTACTAAAAGGCTGTATATACTCTAATGCTGAAGAAGGCAGTTTATTGTGCAGAGCCTAGCAACAAAGTTACACTTAGCACAATTCGCCCAACAATTCCATCAAACACTGTACGGCAAAACTCCTTTTTTTTTAAGTTTTCATATCACTCACATAACATGGCAAGTTGCCAATGCTATTTCCACTTATTGTGTTATACATAACAAATCCATCACTTTCGTTCGAGAAAGCTCCAATATTATAATTACTTTTTTATTTAAAAAAAAAAAACTATGCTCCTAAGGAAAGAACACCATATGCTGAAGCACAAATATCCCACATCTGCTTCAGAACTTAAACCATCAAAATAAAATTAAAAAAATGTAAAAGCAAATCGATCCAGAGGAACTAAACCCAGAAAAAGGAGCGAAGTTATAATTGACTACAAAGTTCAAACAGATCCAATCGAGTAACATATATACCTCTGAATGAAGTGAGACAAAAAAACACAAATGACAAAACTTGAGTACAAAAGTGTAATCTTCAGTGCATAGATTGCATCAGCCTGAGAAGAAGCAAAGTGGGTAAGCATGGATAAAAGAGAAGATTGAAGCAAATGGGTAAAGCAGAAAGGGGTTACCTGAAATAGACAAGAAAAGAAACAACGTAGATCTCTTCAGTCACGACCCAGATCTATGCAGTGCTCATACTCTGAGCTGTGACTGAGAGAGACTCACAAGGCCGTGAATTTCGATTCATGCTTTAATATTTTATTAATTTATTTTATTATTTTTATTTTCTGATAATTTTTTGTATTATTATTTCCCCGGTTGGGTTGGTTATTTCTGCACACTCATTTTCCGGGATCATGTTTTATATTATAGTATTTTTCAGTTCCCCTAAGATTTGGCTCGATTTTAGTTCGCTGAGTTCACTCACTGAGTTGGATCCCGTTATGCAAATTGCAAAGGGGACACACGCACTCTGAGCGTATGTTAGTCCTAGTGCAACATACTCTTGCTATCATGCACCGTGTAAAGTTTAAAGGAAATCTAATCAAGATAACTTTTTACTTTGTTCCTTTCTAACCAATAACCTTTTACTTTATTAAATTAATGCCCTGAAAACAATTTATTTTTCTTATCTCTTCTTTTTACATCCATTTATATTACTTTTTTATTTATATTTTATTTTTTATCAGATTACATCAAATTTTTATTTTTTTCTCTTTTTTATATATTTTTCTTATGAAAACTATAATTATTTTTTATATATAGTATTAGAAATAATATATACTGAAATATAATATTTTTAAAAAATTATAAAATTCAAAAATCGTTATATACACATATTCAAAGATAAAATAATATAAAATATAAAAAATTATCAATAATATTATGCATAAAAATATTTAAAAAATTAAAACTCCTTAATAACAATTTTACAAGTGTATATATAAAATGTTTACGCACACATGTTATGATAATAATTAAAATTTAGTGCGTTTGATTTTATTTATTTTTTAAAAGTAATTATTTATATTTAACATTACATGTATTATCTAGATAAAATAATGGTAGAGTCAAAGATGGTTTGACTAACATAGAAGAAAATAATTAATTTTTGATATAATATATTTTTTTTCTATTTTATTTTTTATTTAAGATTTTTATGCATATATTAATAAATGTAATAAATATTTTTATTTTTATTAATATAATTATTTATTTATTATAATAATATATGTATAATAACTAATAGTTTGAGTGACAAGTAATTCGATATCGCTTAAGCAAGATTTTCAATTTGAGTTTCTATATATGTAAAAAATCTTTTGTGGTAGACTCATCCACTACATCAGGTGCGTGACTTAAATCGAATCTGAATTAAATCAAATAAAAAATAAAAAAATGTATAATATAATCGATATTTTATTTATATTTTTAAAATTGTATATTCACTATTATTTTTCTTTTATTTATGATAAATGTAGAAAGTATTTAAGAATTAAGTAAGTGTAAAAGAATAAAAAAATAAAAATAAAAAAATAGAAATATGATCTCTTAATTCTAAATTAATAATAGTAAAAATTTATTAAAAAATATTGATCATATTTTTATACCTTTAATATAATAAATATCTTTATTTTTGTAAAAAAAATAATTAATTTAAATGTTTAAAATCAACCTTGAAAATTAAAGTTAACAAAAATTTAAAATTTTTATTATTATTAATTTATTTATAAAATTAAAAAATAATATCCTTATTAATATTATTTTAACTTTTTATCATATTTTTGTATGTCTTATGTGTGTTAAAAATAAGAGTCCTATTAACAAGTATTTTGGATAAAAATAATTATTAAAAATTAAGGTAAAATTATTTTTTACATATAATATTTAAAAAATAATATATACTTAAATATAATATTTTAAAAAATTATGAAAATATGAAATTTAAAAATTGTCGATCAACAGACAAAAATTTAAAAACGTGAAAAGTAATCTTTTAAAAAATATTAAAATTTTAAAAAGTCAAAACTTGTTGATAATAATTTTTAAAAAATAAAAAATGATAATTTAAAAAAAAAAATTCTAGTCTCTTTTCTTGGGACATTGAACTCAAGGATTGGCACTGGTGATGTAAAAACTCTAATGTGTTCACTAGTGTGTGTTAACGGAGATCTTATGCGCAACATTCCTGGAGCCAACAATAACAATGGCGAATAAAAATTAATTTTGAGTCATTAGAACTTAAAAACACCCTTTAATCTTTTACCACCCGAAGAAAATTTTGACACTTGCTGGGTTCTGAGAGAATAATTTTGCTCTTTGGAATGCGTTGGTGCGCGTGCCAGTAACCTTTATTTAACGGAAAGGGAAGAGAATAAGAATGAAGAACAATTCTTGTATTTGCACGACTGTGAGTGGTAAAAGGCATTATCCAACGCAGAAACACACGGCACCTTTGTTTTAGTGCCAAGTTGTGGCGGGTCCCTTCCTTTGCAAACTGCATTATCGATGACTATGATCTCTCACCGACCCAAACAAGTACTTAGGTACCATAGATTTGCCAACACTGTCTTCATCTCAATCTCAAACAAACCGAACACTCACCCTCCTTCTATCACATTCCATTTATTAAATAAAGCATCTTTTCAACATAATTCAGATACCCTTTATAGCAATGGATGTGTTAGAACCCTGGTATTTCTCTAAGGCTGAGAAACAATAACTATTTACAGCAAGAAGTTGAGGACAGTGTGTGTGTGGTTTCAATCAATGGCGGTGGAGTACAAGTGCTGTGAAACTCAGTTTTTCATACGCTTATTGATAATCGTGCTGCTTGTGCTGTTCGCTGGATTGATGTCAGGGCTCACTTTAGGCCTCATGTCCTTAAGTCTTGTTGATCTTGAGGTTCTTGCTAAGTCTGGTACCCCTCAGGATCGCAAGCATGCTGGTAATTTCTCTCCCTCTCTTGTCCCACCTCACCATGACATGATGGAAACATGGATTCTTGAGAATTTTATTTACTATTACAAGTTTAAATCATCTAGGAGTTAGTTAGCTTTTTATTTTATTATTGATTTTGTTGAATTCTAAGACTGAAATAAGGTCTCTTTGTAAATCAGCTTTCTTTTTAAGTGTCAGCTTAATATTCGAAGAAAAAACAAATAGTGAAAGAAAAGATATATTTGTAGTTTTAATCCATGAAATTCTTGAGTACATGTCACTGTTATTTTGTGATCATAATTTAAGTCTCTCCCTTCCCAAGCTACTCTTAACTGAATCCTGTAGATGTGTCTGTGTATTAACCCTTATCAGAGAACCTTGTCCTTGTAGATGATAGGAAGAACATTGTTGTGGACATTATATAGTTATTGAATATCCAACTGTTTGAACTTGTTTTGTCATTAATTACAGAGAAGATATTGCCTGTTGTCAAAAATCAACATTTATTGCTTTGCACCCTCCTAATTTGCAATGCTGCAGCCATGGAGGTACAACTAAAATATTGTGTTAATGTGTATTAAACCATATGGATATACTAAGATTCAGCTAATGTTGGATATGTGTGTTGCTTTTGTCAGGCACTTCCAATCTTTCTTGATAGTCTTGTTGTTGCATGGGGTGCTATCCTGATTTCCGTGACATTGATTCTTCTGTTTGGTGAGGTAAGAATTTTTTTTTTTTCCATATACGCTAAACAAAATACATGCATATCAAACATCACAATTAAAAGTTAGGACACTAGGTCCCTTATGACATAAACTATTTGGAAAAGTCAGAAGCTCATTTTCAATCTTGATTCATTTATCAATGAAAAAGATTTTTTAACAGATCGTGAGCATTGGTTATTGTTTATAAATCAGACTTGCAACTTGCTTGAGTTCTTTTTCCAGTCTTTGAAATGATACCTTCAGTGGAAATGGTGCTCCTAACCCTGCTGGACTGTTGCATTTGTGGCGCATATTTTTAGTATCTCATAGAAATATCTTTACATTCAGTAACTCAGTGTGTTGTATAAATTTCTCTGACATGACATCTGTTTGCTTCTGTGAAGATTATACCTCAATCAGTTTGTTCTCGGTATGGTTTAGCAATTGGTGCAACAGTGGCTCCTGTTGTCCGTGTTCTTGTATGGATATGTTTTCCTGTTGCTTATCCAATTAGCAAGGTGAAAAACCATGAGCATATTTTTTATTATACCTTTTTAGTTTCATTTGTGATTTAGTAGAATACGTAACTCATTGTTTCTTTATTTTCTTTTCGTTCTTGGTTTCCTTTTGCATTTATGTGGTATTCCAGTTGTTGGACATTTTGTTGGGGCATCGACATGAAGCCCTTTTTCGCAGAGCTGAGTTGAAAACACTTGTAAATTTGCATGGTAATGAGGTCTGTATCAGAGAGCTACAAGATGTTTTGGATTGATACAAAAGCATGCATAAATTTGTTCATTCATTTACTCTTGCAGTTGAAGACTAGTTCACTACATTTAGTTTATAAAGTGAATAATGTGACTAAGGGTTATCTTATCTGGTTTTCTCCTTGTCATTTAGACTCTTTCTCTTGGACACTCATGCTTCCTTATGTTGCTGTTCCATGATGAAATGTATTAGGCTGGAAAAGGTGGGGAACTAACACATGATGAAACAACAATCATTGCTGGAGCACTTGAGCTCTCTGAGAAGACAGCTGGTGATGCCATGACTCCCATAACTGAAATATTTTCTATTGATATCAATTCAAAGCTTAATAGGTAAAGACTTGACTCTTGAGGCGACTCGAAATTACAAAGAGCAAGCTAGTTTCTGCATCTTATACAACTTTTTGTGATCAAATTAAAGGCTTTTTATTATTATTTATCAGGGATCTAATGAATCTAATATTGGAGAAAGGGCATAGCAGAGTCCCTGTCTATTATGAGCAGCCTACAAATATTATTGGACTTATCTTGGTATACAGTCAATTACTTTTCTTCAAGCCTGCAATATTGAACAATCTCTTTCCATTGTGTGAAAAGTTGTAAAAACTACAAAATTTTCATCAATTTTTCTGTGCTTCATTCTGTGAATTTTTTTTTCCAAGAGGACAATTCTGTTTGACGAAAACTACCTAGCTAGATCTTGACAAACCCCCAGGCATCATTTTTCACAAATTTAGGAAATTTACTAGGCAAATTAAATGGAAGTGCATTCTTGACATGTTAATTGTTATTCTCAATCACATCTTTGCTGATTAATAATGCATTGTTTGTTAACTCAATTATAATATTTTTAATAGGTATCTTATCAACGGTATTGATTCTCATTGAAACCGGTCCTCTCTTATTTCTTTCTTATAATTGTACATCACCTTTTGCTTTAAGCATGCATGCATCTTACTTTCAGGTCAAGAATTTATTGACAATTGACCCGGAAGATGAAGTACCCGTGAAAAGTGTGACCATACGCAGAATTCCAAGGTATTTTGTGTATTGTTTTGCAGGTTTAAGGATGTAATTACTAAGATTATGGCATTATATCAGCATAAGCTCATATATAAAAACGACATGTATTGACAGCGTTCCGGAAACAATGCCATTGTATGATATTTTGAATGAGTTCCAGAAGGGTCATAGTCACATGGCTGTTGTTGTTAGACATAGTGACAAGACACGGCAACAGTCTTCCAACAATAATGCTGGCGGTAAGCAAATGTTATAATCAAGTTAAATTATTTATCTTTGAATTTTTTTATTAAAATAATTCAATGTAATCTTTAGCTACTACTTTTTTAATTAAAATTAAAATGTTATTTGTAAAACGATTGTACTCTCTAGTTTTAATTAAAAATTAATATAAAAAATGCTAAAGTACTGCAGATAAACTTTATTCTTTATATATCATAAAGGACATTACATACATTTTAAATATTTTTAATTATTTGAAAAATAAATATTAAATAATTTGGATTTGCAATATAAATATTTTTCAATAAAAAAATCATGCATTCTTATTTCTTTAACTAATGCACCAGTTGCATAATTTTAAAAAAATGGTTTCTTTTTTTTTTCTAAAATTATATTTATATTCTTTTAAAAGTGAAGATTTATTTCACACCATAATGAATTATGTGTCTCTTTAATGGCTATGAAATAGACTCAGTGAGAGATGTGAAGGTGGATATTGATCGGGAGAAGACTCCTCAAGAGAATATTTTGAAAACTAAGAGGTCATTCCACAAATGGAAAAGTTTTCCAAACACAAATAATCCAGCAAGGAGTGGTTCTAAGAGCAGAAAATGGTCAAAACATATGTACTCAGATATTTTGGAAATTGATGAAAATTCATTTCCAAAGCTGCCCGAAAAAGAAGAAGCTGTTGGAATAATTACAATGGAAGATGTTATTGAAGAGCTTTTACAGGTACTTAATTAAGGTAATTCTTAACAATTTTATTTATTTATCATTAAAATCTTGTATTGACATCAATATTTCTGCGTAGGAGGAGATCTTTGATGAGACTGATCATCATTATGAAGACTCATGACAATCATCTTTCCATAAGACACATACTTAGACTCATAGATGATTTGATTAGATAATCAGAACAGCTGTTTGGAAATCTAGAATGGTATTGGAACGTTACAAGCAATTATCTTGTGAAAAGTTAGTGATGGAAAATTGTTAATATGTTCACATCATTGTTTTTCCTTTTTTTGTGAAGTATATCAACGTTAAGTTTTTGTTGCAACTTGCAAGGTAATGGATCATTTTCATGGCAGCAATAGAGTATGTATGAACCGAAAGGGAATTGATATAGAATAATTATATATTTTGGCACGTTCTCCGTAATAATTGAAGAGATGATCATGCTTATATTTTAAATGAGGCCATCTAGAGAGCCAAGGGAGGTAGTTGGGCCTGTTTGTTTATATATGAAACGGAGTTATGTAAAATTGCATATGCATGTCTTTTTTTTCTTCTGAAACTCAAATTATGTGAGAGGAGCAAATTTTTAATTTTGAGAAATTTTGTTTGCAACAGAGATAGAAACAAGCACAGATTTTTTTAAAAGACAAAAAACGAGAGTAAATTACATCCCTTTTATTAAAAATATATTGTTCTTTCGTCTTATTTTAATAAGTATACTCTTTTTTAAAAAAATAAATTAATATATAATATTTTAATTTTTAAATGTAAATAAGTTTGTTAGTGTTAATGAATATTTGTGAATGATTTTTCTTTAAATTATCTAATCTATCGAGAGATAAACTTACAAAATTGTAACCTATTTCGATATTAATTAGTTATAATAAAAATGGATTACCAATTCAAGTAAACTTAATTTGTAATTTGTAATGTGAAGAATTTAAATGCTAAAATTATTATTTGGTGGATATTTTTTAACTATCAGTATTTTTTATTTATTTGTTCGTTTTTATTTGTAATGTGAAGAATTTAACATGCCCTGTTTTTGCTGTCAAGCTCAAGAAAGATTAAGAAAACAAAACAAAACAAAACAAAATAGTAGCTTAATGACGTACAAAACAAAACATAGAACAACCCCTCCCTCAGTCTTTGGAATGTCATGTTCCAACAAGTAACATTAATTTAACCAAAACGGAATAGAATAAGATTCAAGAAATGCCTTTTGAGAGAAACATTGTGGTATTGTATATCTGCACGAGCACCAGTCAAGTGGCATTATATATCCAACGCAAATACATTATAGTAGCTTCGTTGAAGAGCCAAGTTTCAAGCTACATTATCGATGATCACTCCCCAGACTCAAACAAATAAGCATAATTTGACAACGTTGTTTTCATTAGGGAATACTACTCTCGAACAAACCCAACACTCATCATCTTTCTATCGCGTTCCATTTATTAAATAAATTATATTTTCAGCATAATTCGGATACCCTTTATATTAACGGAGGTGGTGCTGCCTCGGCTTTCTCTAACTCTAAAATTGGAAACAAAACAAGTTGAGTGTGTGTAGAGTGGTTTCAAATTTCAATCAATGGCGGTGGAGTACAAGTGTTGTGATATGGAGTTCATGAAACGCATAATGATGATCGTCATGCTTGTGGTGTTCGCTGGAATGATGTCAGGACTCACCTTAGGCCTCATGTCCTTGAGCCTTGTTGATCTTGAGGTCCTTGCTAAGTCTGGCACCCCTCAGGATCGCAACCATGCTGGTAATAGTAATACCCCTCAGCATCACCACACCATAATCTAAAATTATTAATTACTGTAATTTCTCTTTATTCTTTCAAAGTTTAAATCATTTATAGAGTTTAAAGCATTCTTTACTTCAATTCTTTTAAGAAAATTGTTATAATTAGTTATGTAGTAGTTCCCTACTGGTTTTTGTTGATTTCTATAACCCAAATAAGGTTGCTCTATAAATTTTTGTTTTAATTTTCACCTTAATATTTGGAGAAAGGACATGATATAATGGTATTGAATCTCCGGGGGTAAGATCATCATGCTTGAACTTGTTTTATCATTAATTACAGCGAAGATATTGCCTGTTGTCAGAAACCAACATCTATTGCTTTGCACACTCCTAATTTGCAATGCTATAGCCATGGAGGTACAACTAAATAATGTGTTAGCGTGTAAAATTTAATCACATGGATATATAGGGAAAAATCTAGCTAATATTGAATAATGGTGTTGCATTTGTCAGGCACTTCCAGTTTTTCTTAATAGACTTGTTGTTTGGTGGGGTGCTATCCTGATTTCGGTGACATTAATTCTTCTGTTTGGTGAGGTGAGAAAGTTTCTTTTCTTACACATGTTAATATCAAATGCATAGTTAAAAACTGGGGACACTGTATCCCGTAGTGATTGAGAAAGTCAGAAACTCATCTTCAACAATGATTCATTCCTCAGTAAAAAATAATTTAGATCAGACAATGAGAAGTAGTTAATGTTTGTAATGATATCTTGGCATTCAGTTACTCAGCTTGTTTTGTAAAATTTCTCTGACGTCTGTATACTTACCTGTGAAGATTATGCCTCAATCAATCTGTTCAAGGTATGGTTTAGCAATTGGTGCAACAGTGGCTCCAATTGTTCGTGGTCTTGTGTGGATATGTTTTCCTGTTGCTTATCCAATTAGTAAGGTGACATACATTAAGTAGAATTTTTATTGATATTTTTTCAGTTTTATTTGAGTAACATGGTCCAAATTTTATTTGTTATGTCTTGATTTCTTTTTCCTTCTTGGCTTTTTGTGCATATATATGGTATTCCAGCTGTTGGACTTTTTGCTAGGGCAGCGGCATAAAGCCCTTTTCCGCAGAGCTGAGTTGAAAGAACTTGTAAATATGCATGGCAATGAGGTCTGTATCAGAGCTACATGATGTTTTGGATTGAAACAAAGGCATGCATCTATACTTCAAAAATATATTAATTTATTTATTCATTTATTCCTAAGTTGAAGACTTGTTATTTGTGCTCATCATGTTATTTCATAAGTATGCTGCAGTTCACTCCTTTTTCATTTCCAATATGAAAAATGTAACTGAGGGAATCATCTTCTCTTTTGGTTATTTGGATTCATCCATTTGCACACTCATGCTTCTTTATGTTATTGTTTTCCATGATGAATTGTATTAGGCTGGAAAAGGTGGGGAACTGACACACCATGAAACAACAATCATTGCTGGAGCACTGGAACTCGCTGAGAAGACAGCTAGTGATGCTATGACTCCCATAACTGAAACATTTTCTATTGACATTAATTCAAAGCTTGATAGGTAATGAATAAATGAAGGTCTCTCAAAAAATTAGAAATGCAAGCTAGCTTATGTATTTTTTACCACTTTCTGACATCAAGTAAATGGTTGTTATCAAGCAGCGATGTGATGAGTCTAATATTGGAGAAAGGGCACAGCAGAGTCCCTGTCTATTATGAGCAGCCTACAAATATTACTGGACTTATCTTGGTATTCAGTCTCTTATTTTAATCCTTCAATCTTGAACACCAATTTCTGAGATTGAACATGTCAACTTTCATCCTAATAGGATTATTACGGATGCTAATATTTTTATCTGTTTGACCAAAACTATTTAGCAAGAACTTCATATGTCCTCAGGCATCATTTCTCGCAAATTTATCAAATTTGCCAGGAAACTTAAATTGAAATTCAATCTTGACAAGTGACATTACCATTACATAGAGTCATACTGAGTTCTATGAATGAATGCCTAATATTATGTATAGAACTATTTATGAGCCTCCACCTAGAAGCTTAAGCTTTTGGAGGCATGATGCTTGACATAAATCAAAGCCTTTATGACCAAGTAGTATTCTTCTAGTAGTTGAATTTCAACACAACGTAAAATAAGCCTGTGCATATCATGTTTCTGGCCCAAAGGGATTTTTGGTGAGGTAATGTCTTAGATATAAAACTATTTAGGAGCCCTTGTTTAACAATTAAGATTTTGGGACAGTATGTTCTTGATGCTTCATAAGAGAATATTCAAGAAATTGAACAAATTACTGGAGATCTTAAGTTGAAAGTTAGATACACAATACATTAGCCATGGAGCCACGCTTGGAACCATACTGTATAATGCTGTTGTCCTACACAATATTTTTCTACTGCTCACTCCATAGATCATTTTTTATGGTTGGACATTACCTTTGTCTCAAGCATGTGGACAGTATCTTAGGTGTTGTTAGTGCACTAATTAAAATTAGAATTTTATCTTTAATCGGTAAACAGCACTTAACACCTAAAAACTAACACACGAGTTTTGTCCTAAGCATGCATGTTTTTTAATTTTAGGTCAAGAATTTATTGACTATTGACCCAGAAGATGAAGCACCTGTGAAAAGTGTGACCATACGCAGAATTCCAAGGTATTTAATATTTTTGAAGGTTTTATGGAGGGTGCAACTACTGAAACTAACGGCATTATATTATCATAAATTACATGTATTGACAGGGTCCCAGAAACAATGCCACTGTATGATATTTTGAATGAGTTCCAGAAGGGCCACAGCCACATGGCTGTTGTTGTCAGACATTGTGACAAGACAGGGAAGCAATCTTCCAACGATAGTACCTATGGTAAGCAAGTGCTCTAATCAAGTTAAACTATTTATCATTTGCTAATATTCTATTTATATTTATTTAAAACTATTTTTTTCTCATCACAATAAGTGGTGTTCTATGTCTCTCGAATGCTGTGAAATAGAGTCAGGGAGAGATGTGAAGGTGGATATTGATGTTGAGAAGCCTCCCAAACAGAAAGTTTTGAAAACCAAGATGTCATTCTTTAAGTGGAAAAGCTTTTCAAACTTAAATAATTCGAATATGGGTGGTTCTAAGAGCAGAAAATGGTCAAAAAATATGTACTCTGATATTTTGGAAATAGATGAAAGTTCATTTCCAAAGCTGCCCGAAAAAGAAGAAATCGTTGGAATAATTACAATGGATGATGTTATTGAAGAACTTTTACAGGTACTTAATTAAGGTCATTCTTAACAATTTTATTTACTATTAAAAATCTTGTATTGACATTAAAAATTCTACGTAGGAGGAGATCTTTGATGAGACAGATCATCACTTTGAAGACTCATGGAAATCATCTTTCCATAAGACACATACTCATATTGGTGTTTAGATTCACAGATAATCCCGACAGCTGTTTGGGGGTTTGGGGATTGGAACATGACAAGCCATTATCCCCTTGTAAAAAGTTAGGCATGGCAAAGTCTATTACTGTTAATACGTTCTCATCAAAATTTTGGAAGTATATAATTATAAAGATTTTGGCTCCTTTATACGGTATACACTAGAAAATAAAATGTAAAATTATAGCTATTAATTATAAATTAACCATGGAAATATTAATAACTATAATTTTAATATAAAAATATCAAATTACACTAGTGTAAGTTACATCAATTTTTATATTATTTAATAATTTTTATTTCATAATTTTATCTTAAAATTGACTATTAAATTAAAAATTTTAATTATATAAATCATATTTATAAAATTTTAAATTAATTTAAAAGTATTTTATGCTTCATTTATATACAATAAAATTGACATAATATATATTTTTAAAATATATAAAAATAATGACCTTTTTATTACATTCTAATAGTTGTTTAATTTTAATAAAATATGACATAAATAATCAAGATGATATATTAATATAATTCAATAATTAGATCGATAAAAAATTATATTTTATATAAAATTATATTTTAATAAATTGTTTTCAAATGCATTCTTAATTAATGGGTAAGCTGCTTGTATTGATTGTGTATGTAACTCTGTTACTCTTGTCGAGATTTACCGCAGTAAATAATATAGAAGAAGGCCAAGGACAAAGATCAAATGACATAAGTATCAAAATTAATTAAGATTAGAGCTCACAATAAAATTCACTTTCAAGTTCTAATCACAAACAAGTCTTTCGTTGATAGGTAACCGTCGAAAACAAGGGAAATCTTATGGTATATATTTAGTTATTAAATATTTAGCGATTAATAATTAATAAACATTTGATAACGAGCGATAGGGGCATTAAAAAAAGCATATACCAGAAATTCAGAACATATTCCTTAAAACATAGACAAGGTAGGGTTGCAAACTGCTTGGAGTATCATTCCAGCAGATGCGGTCCTCTTAACTACATAATGTTATGTATCATTTTAATAATTAAATAATAGGAAATAATCTATCGGTAAATTGGCATTGGTAGGCCTAATGAGACATAGTGGCTGAACCTTGTTATCAACAATGGAGAACTATAAAGATGGTCAAGTGAAGGATTGGGTAGAACTTTGAAATATAGTCACCCTCTATATTATTCATTGGCATTCCCAATATAGTTAAATAAATATTGTACCAACATTTAATTTTGTAAGACATGTTACATAAAACTAAACTTTCATTTTTGTCTTCAGAGATTTTGAGTCCGACATTTTAATTCTTAAAAAATTAAAAATATCATAGTAGTTCTCAACTTTTATCTTTGTTGTTTATTTTAGTCCTTAAACGCAAATTCCATTAACAAATAATAACAGAAAGCTGACATGTCACGTTAAGTGTAATATCAAAAGCCTACTTGGCAGAAACAACGTCGTTTTGAGATGTTTTGAAAGTGAGTGATAAAACACTTTGGTAAAAATGACATTGTTAAAAAAAATTGAACATGTGCCCCTAATTGCCGAAACAATGTTGCATATTTTTCTTTGTCTCAGAGAAGAACCTTAAGACTTATTGCAAAATTTCACTGAAATTGTATTTAGCATTGGAATATTTAGAGATTAAAAGGTAGGAAGTCTATCTCTGGGAAAGCTTCAAGGAGAAGCACATCCCTACAAAGAAGCATATCATATGGAATAGAATGGGAAGTCCAATTTAAGAAGCTTCAAAATATAGGAGATGGCATAAATTTGGAAATTTTTATGAAATAGAAAAACAAGCTCAAGGAAAAGGTTATATGGATAAATTACAAGGTTATAAATTGATGAAAGGTCTAAGGAATCATATATTGGGTAGTTCTAAACTTAGATCTTTCAGAAGTTATACTAGTTCAACTAGACAGTATTTGCCATCACTAAGATATTGCAAAGAACTTTCAGGAGAGACCTGTTTCAGTGCAAGGAAATGGTCTAAAATCAAGGTTAAGGGAAACTAAGAGTGACGGTTAGAATGTAAGGAATGTCAAAAGGTGAGAAAATGCTCACATCTTTTGACCCAATATTTTGCTTGTCAAGCCTATACCCGTTTGCATTTGTTATCATGGTAGTTGGTAAAAATGCTGGAAAGTGAATATCATAGACCTATTAGCCACTTGCTGTAGAGGCCGAAAGAAGCTTTTCCTATCTAAGTTACAAATTTTAGCATTTTTACCTATACTTCCTTTATTACAAATTTCAAACAAATCTTGTTACAGAGAGAGGAAAAGCAAGAAAGTTACAATTTTTTCATGTAAAAACAAAACTTTATTACAAATCGAAAAAAAAATCTAGCGTTGAGGACGAGTTTGTCAACAAAATTGAACAATTAGAATAGCAAATCCCCAAATTAAGAAAAAAACCTTAACTTCATTGTTACTAAAAATGAACCCAAATCTAATTACAAGCGTTTTGCTAGTTTATTTTCAAAACTCCTCAAAACAACGTCATTTCAGCCAAATGAGCTTTTGACATGGCACTTAACATATTAGTTTATGTTACTGTTTGTTAACAGAATCTGCATTCAAGAACTAAAATGAATGACAGAGATGAAAGTTGAGAATTAACGTGACATTTTTAATTTCTCAGGGATTAAAATGTCAGACTAAAAATTGTTTAGAAACCAAAATAAAAGTTTAGTTTGTTACATAATTTATGATTCGTCATTGGATGAAAATGACGACATGTAACTGTTGGGAAAACTCTATAATTAGAATACCAACGTCAAAATGGATAGTGTTGTAATCATAAAGTGGGTGAAAATGGAAAGATGAAATATACACAATGTTGCATATGATATGAGGGAAGAAAATCTCCATGACATTCATGTAAATTGGCAAGTGAAGGTGAATTGGTCAAAACAAACAAACGCGGGTGAAAATTTCTATTGGTGAAGGATTAAGAAACCTAATAAGTGTAAAAAACCCTAAGCCTAGGCAAGATGCTAAAGATAAGGAGCGAATAGCCAAGATTAACCAAATAATATGTCAAATGAACTATCAAAGTAAACTTTGAAGTGGTTAAAGAATTAGCTTCATTATATAGTTGAGAAAAGATATTAATTCGAGACTTACAAAATAAATTGAATGTGCACATGGCAAAAAGAACCATAATTTATATGAATCTAAATCTACTCTACTCTAGTTTATACAGAAACTAGACAGTCTTGTTCTATTTTTGCTTAAACAAATTCACTTAAACAAAAATAAAAATTATAAAAAAATGAGAGAAAAGAAAGGAATTGGAAGAGGAGGACTTGAAAGAGTTAAAGAAGAAGAGAAAGGAGGCTGGAGGAAGGGGCGTGGGATGAGGTTATGGGAGGCTGGAGAAGGAGGAGGGGGAAAGGATAAGCTGGGCTAAGGGAAAAGGGATGGGGAGGAGACGCGAGGTTGTGGAAAGGGGGAGGGGGGTGGGAAGAGAAGAAAGGAAGAAAAGAGAGAAAGAGAAGGAGAAGCAAAAATTTCCATTTTCACTTAAGTGAAGCAAATTTGCTTAAGCAAAAATGGAGCTGAATCCTCCAATTCTCGCGTGATGTGGAGCAAATCCATTTCCAATTTATATCTTTAGGATTGCATTTGATGTTACAGAAAATAATCTGTACAAAGAACAAACATGGTTTCATCCATATTGCCTCTATCCAACAGTTATGACCTTAAATTAGAATATCAAATTACAGAATATAATCAGCTATGATGTTTACTTCTTTTCTCCTCTTTCATTTTCTTATGCTTAGATTTTTCCTTGGACCTGTGCTTCTTAGAATGCTCCTTTTTCGAGTTGCTAGAGTGACCCTTTTTATTCTTTTTTCGCCACTCTGCATGAAGTTCCTCCTCAGAAGATTCGTATGACTTCAATGACAAAGGCCTCTCCGGACCATAAACTAGGCGATGTTCCCTTACATCAGGACTAGTACTAGGCTCCCCATCTAGATGAGTAGGAAGGTAAGGCCCAGTCTCATCCATCCTTGGACCAACAGCACCTCTGCCGCGCTTGGTCCTGCAGCATAATGAGGTTTCTTCAGCTCTAAAATAAGTTATAGAGAGAAACTACTGAAGGCATGCATGCATATTAAACATTAGAAAGCATAAGAGAGCAACAATACCTGGAGTGCAGAAACTCCTCAAGCTCTTCGTCCTTTAAACCTTCTGGGCTGTGCTCAAATTCTCTTTTACTTGAGCATGAACCTGAGGCACTACTGCTTTTATCCACTACAGCACGTCTTCCTGGGCTTTTTGAAGAATTGCCATCTCTATCTCTTCTGTCATAGCTGCTTTTATCTTTTGACAGGCCTTTAACCCGTTTATCCAGCTCAGATTCTCTTTTACTTGAGAATGAAGCAGAGGTTCTAGTGCAGTTATCAATAACAGTATCTCTTCCTGTGCTTCTTGATGAATTATCATCCCTATGGCTTCCGTCCCTACTGCTTTTATCTATCAAAGTTTCTTTAATCCGTTTATCCAGCTCCAGTTCCTTTTGCCGCAATCGCCACATTTCATTCACTTCCACAGCTCGATTTGCTGGTAGAAAGCACCAAAATAAATTAAATATAACTAACATGGATAAACTATCAGCTCAACATATAAACATCATACTTGCTGCACAACACAAACAGACAGAGGAGGAGGATGGTGATTTTCCTATCTCAAGCATTTAAGAAATGAAGTAAAATTTTAATATTCAACTTGGGTGAAGTAGTCATGTCCTTCATTTAAGTAACAAATTGTGCTTTGCATGTTTGCACTTGACCCATACCGGCTCATGGCAACAGACATATGGTAATAAGACATATGGTAATAAGAAATTAAAATAAAGACTACTGAATGAAAAGTAGAAGCAGTAATATCTTAGAAATCCAAAAAGCATTCAATACTTTCTTTTTGAAGTAATAAGAATAATTTCACAAAGAACAATAAATGCTTCTTAATGTGTGACCTTTAAACACATTGATTGACAAGGACCTAGCTCCTCTAAAGTGAGGGGGTGCATTTTAGACGGGAAAATGCAGTTATAGCCAATGACTTAGAAAGCAATAGAATGAATTTTATCTTTGTTTGTTATAGATGTCCGTGTATTCTATCAAAATTTCAATAATTAATTTTCTGATTGTTGAAACTAAAGGATTGTAGGTATATAGGAAGGAAAAAAAAAGAGAATAGAGACTAAAAAATAACCTTGTTGTACACCACGTACAGTAGCAGTGAGGAAACGTGAATTTGGTCGTGTCCGTTCGTTAGGCTTACGAAGATAAGCCAGAACACCTTCCTTTTCAGACTGCCTCCGCAATTCAGCTGCTTCCCTCATAAGCATAGCAGCTAATCGATTTTCAGTCTCCAGATCCATTTAAGTGGCAGGCTATATTACCCGAAAACAAAAGAAAGCAAAATAGAAAAGAGATTTTAATTGAATGAATCTATAAACAAAAATTATGAAACAACTTCAGGGTGCTGTGCTGATTAGTGTTGGAAAGGGGAAACGGACCAATTAAGCAGCAAAAAACAAAAACAATTACTATTTCACATATTGCAGACACTGTTCAGTTCCCAAGCCCCTCTCAAAGCAAAATATTAATCAAAAAACCTAAAATCTTCCAGTTACTCCCATAACCACCATTCATTCTTTTTAATTAAGTTGCTTGTTTTGTTAAAAAAACATGCAAAGAAAGAAAAATTTCACCATTTCAAACTGAATCCCAATTGCAAAGAGGTTTTACAGCACAAAAGGTAGCACTCAAATTATTAACAAAATTGGATCCCTCAAATTCACCCCCAAAAAAATAATGTCCACCGTATTGAGGAACCAAGATGATCCCACAAAAAGGGAACTAAAACAAAGTCATCTACGTAAAGGGATTTCAATACCTTGGCTTCCAACTATTTTGATCGCTCCAACACAAAGGAGCTCACACCAAATAGCAAAACAGAATCAAATTCGGACCAGTCTAGGGTTTGAGCTATTCATAGCAATGGGGGAGTCACCAAGTAACTGCAAAAAGGAATGGAATTTAGTTGGATATCGTACATTTCCTTTAACCCCAGAACTCCACCATCTCACGAATCGGTTCCAAGCCTAATTTGAGCCAATTTTTGATGATGTAAAACTAAAAGCTATTGGAGATAGAAAGAACCAAAGTCGAAACCTTTGCAGAGTCGAAGTGTTAGGGAACAAATACAAAAAGCAAATTGGGAAAATAATGGCGGAAATAAGCGCACCTTGTCCGTGTTTGGGCCTGGCTCCGTCCAACGATTCTCTTCAACCCTCTCTGGTCTTGTTCTCTCTCTTTCTCTCTTTCCATGTACCTTTTATTTTCTTTAGTTTTTTATTTTAGGTTAGTTTAATTTAATCAAAAGAAAAAGTTATGCATTTCTTTCCGTTAAATACACTTTTGATTTTTATTTTTTTTTATGTCTATGTACTTTTGAATTTTGAAAATATGTAATTGTTATTTTAAAATAATTTAGTTTGTATATTGAAAAGCATTTAATTAGTGATTTTTAAAAAAAAATTATTTTTTAAGAATTAAAATATATTTAAGTTTTTTTCTTTATTTAATCAAAAGAAAAAATAAATAGGGAATATCCAAATTTTTGTAAGGTCATATTTCTTTCAAGGCTTGTAAAATTATTTTGTGAAAATTAATATAAACTTTATAATATATTTTTGGATATTTTTATTTTTAGGTTATATTTTTTTCACATTTTTTTATTCTCATGGTGGTGCATATGGGCATAACGGAAGTTGCCATGTAACTAAACTAACTAAATACTTTTTTATTTTCATTTTTAACAATATTACACACTATGATACTGCTACACAAAAAAAGTTACTAAACATGTGTTTTCACGTGTTTTTTTTATTAAGATTGTATTTTGTTATGCTTTTATAATTTATTTTTATATACTTATCTTTATTTGAATTAGTTTTATATCAATTATTCTACTAATTATCATAATTTAATATGTTAAAAGTCTTCATGAATTATTAAGGTATTTTGGATATAAATTAATGAAAAATAGAAAAATATACTCATGTTTTAGCAATCAATATTTTTATGCTTCAAACCATGTGCACAGTCGCACAACCGTACTATTTAATGAGAGAATCAAATTAAAAAAACTCTTAGATTTTTAAAATTTTATTTAAAGAATTTTAAGAGCCGTGACTTAAGTATTTTAATTTTTAGACAGTCATTAATAATTTTTGAATATTTAAGAACGCTTCTTGATGTTAAGAACTATCTTCATCGTTTTTTTATTGGAGATTCATTAAGTTTGAATTTACTTCTCAATTAACTATAGATTGGTTTATTATTATTTTAATTTTTTATTACATTATATCTAACTAAATCCATAACTCTAACTATGGATTAAGTATAGTAGATCTTTTGTATAACTTTATGTGATCTTTATATTTGACAATAAATTTAATTTTCTTTTTTGATTGATGTTTATTAGATTATGCTATATTTGTATGTTCAGAATTAGTAACTTTTAAACATATCATAATTAATTATATTATAAGCAATTGTACCACATATAGTTAATGAATCTATAGAGTAAAACTTGACAAAGAATTAAGTAAATCAAACTTAATTTTTCTCTTTTAATCGTTATTAAATTAACAAGTTTATAAGCTCTTTATATTTTTTTCTTTCCTTTACTTTACATGATCATTAAAGGTAATAGCTTAGAAAAGAAATTATTAACATTATATGACCATCGAGTATTAATAGATTTAGTATGAGTGATTAACAATCATAAAAAAATTAAAATTAAAATTAATCTAAATAATGAACATAGAAAAAATGTACAGGTGAATTAATATACCCTAGAGCTCATCTCGAATAGTTTATTGTCATAGGTTGTGTTGTTTTATTTTATTTTAATTAATTTTACATTTGAATCCTTTATTCTATTTTATTACACATCATTTAGTTTAAACAATTAAATTAAGATATTATCGATACTTGAGAATAATTCTTGTAAAACGATATTTTAGAAACTTATTTTAGAAATGTTTATTATTTTTCGATAGGTACACTTATCCACGAATAAATTTTTAGTGTAATTGTTAGGAATTGTTTTACAATATTAAGAAAATCTCATATTTAATTGATTTGAAAAGTTCTTACTTTATTTTATTTTTTTCTATTTCATTTTTTTAATCTTTGATTTTAATTCATTTTGTGTTAATTGTTTTAAAATTGTCTTTGTTATATGCTCCTTTGTTCTAAGTCTTCTACAACTTATTTATTTGATTCATAAATTGAAAAAGTTGTACATAAACAAAGGAATGAGTTAAAGGAGTCAAGGATACCAGAAGGAAAGAGATCAATATTAAAGGTGTTTATGGAAGTGTTGCGGCTCTAAATGTGGAGGCCAACAACTTTGAGCTAAAGCTGACATTGATCACTATAGTTCAAAATCCTACATAGTTTGGGGGAATGTATAACGAAGATTTCTATCTCTATCTGACAAAATTCCTCTGACTCACAAACACTATAAAGTATAATAGGGTCACCAATGATGCTATTAGGCTTCATCTTTCTCCATTCTTTATCACGAAAAAGGTGAATACATGATTCGCCAAGTTACCATCTAATTCATCACAATATGGGAAGATCTGACTTAGCAATTATTGGAAAAAATATTTTTTCTCATCTTAATTTGTTAAGTTTATGGCAGAGACATCTAGCTTTCAATAATGCGAGTCAAAATCTTTATTTCAAGTGTGGAAATAATTTGGAGAACTTTTGAGAAGTTGCCCACATTATTGTTTTCCTATACGAAGATAAATGCAAATTTTTTATAGTAGAGTATCAATTTCCAATAAAGTCATAGTTAATGCAATAGTTGGAAGAACTCTCATGATAAAAGATCTAGATGAGGATACGTATTGGTAAACGAGATGGTATCTGCCAATTTTCAGTGGCACGCAATTGACTCTTGCCTGAATAGAAAGAAAGAAACTGTTTTGATTTATCAGATAGAGAGCAACGATCCACTAGCAAACAAAGTGGAAGTTCTTACAAAGTAAGTGGAATCTCTAAAAAGGGCATATATGACTTTTGTGTGTGAGCACTAGGGCTCCATAGGCTATAATAGCAGTAATTATCTAGTTTCTAAAAATAAAGAGGAAGTTAACTTCATGAATATTAATTAAATATGAGGTAGTGAAATAATCTTACTAATTCTTAAGAGTAATAGCTTAGGAAATAGACTATTAATATTGCATAACTATTGAGTATTAATAAATTTAGTAAAAGTAAGCGACAATCATAAAAAAATTTAAAAATTAAAATTAATCTAAAAGTATATATAGAAAAACGTAAAAGTAAAAGTAAACTAATTTACCTTATAATTCATCTAGACTAATTTGTTGTATGATTTTATTTTGTTTTAATTACTTTTAAATTTAAATCTTTCTTTATTCTATTTTACTATTCATATTTTTAGTTTAAATAATTAAATTAAAATATTATTAATATTTAAAAAAATATTTATGAAATGATATTCTGAAAACTTATTTTAAAATTTTTTATTATTTTCAATTTGTATACTTACCTATACCAGAACAATAAATTACAATTGAGAATAAAATTTGATTTTTGACAAAAATCACAAATGAATAACAATATTATGTTTTCGTACAATTTTTATGTAAATAAATTTTATATTACTTATCATTTTTCTTTTAATTTTTCTTTTTATTATTTAAATTCTAAAAATTATTAAAAAAACTAAACGTACTTTAAAAAGTATTAAAAGATAACCATTTTTATCATGTTATTACTGAAAATATTTTTGTTTATAAATTAAAATATAATTAAATATCTTAAAATGCGTGTCTTTCAAGTACATTTATTATTTGAGACTGTGTTACATAAATTTAAATAAAATATAAAAATATAAATAAAAAATTAAACTATCAAAATGAGTTACATAATTAGTTAAAATATTTTGAATTAAACTTTAAAAAATAACAATAATATATATTATTTATTTTTATGCTTAAATTTTGAGTAATTAGTCTTGAATGTGAATGTTTAAAATATAAAATAATAATAATAATAATAATAAGTAATTAGTCTTGAATGTGAATGTTTAAAATATATAATAATAATAATAATTATTATTATTATTATTATTATTATTATTATTTTGTGATTTTACTTCATCACTGTACAACACTTATTTTTATATATTTTTAAAATTTCTCATATTATAAATATTTTTTATAAAAGTTATGTTAAAATTTCTCCCTTTTAAAAATATTAAAATTTTCAAATTAATTACCTTTATAATGTTATTGTCATATGAAATTTTCTTTTTATTCAAATTTTAACTAGTAGAATCTTTTTAAAAAATTATATATATATATATATATTCCCAATTTATTTCACAGACTAGTCTGATCCATTTCAAGCTAACCAACCCTCTTTAGGCCGACTGAATTTTGGGTTGGGCTAAGTTATAGCAAAATTTAATTAAGTTTATTTTCAACTGAGTTTACACTTTTTAACAGACTAAACAGGTATTGAGTTTAACTCTAGTGTTTAGACTTAGAAGGTCACTAATTTAATAAATTTGAGTTATTATTTGATCAACTTCGTGAATTTCTTCATTACTGTGCAGAATTATCGATATTAAGTAAATTGCGACCCATAAGTCTTCCAGATACTCAATTTGGAGTCAGAGTCTTCCCACTTTGAAAGGAAACTAATTATTCCGTCGAAGTTGAGCATTACTTTCCCATCATTCATTCTCTCTCTTAAAAGTCTTCCAATTTCCATAAGAATTCACTTATTTTGTCTTACTATAATTTCTGGTCACGCTTTTTCACTTCGTGCCCACTATCATAGCTTCTTTATCACAATACACAAGGACATCTTTTCACATCACATTCTTTGTCTCTCTTTTTAAGTGATAGCCATACAAAAATGATATACTACCAGCCAAAAAATACGAACTTTTTATCAAAGACAAAGCGTTACATTTCTCAAGTCTCATACTTGGAAGATTTAACTTTGAAACTTAGTTTTGTCCTAAATTAGACAATACTTATTCATATTTTATCAATGCATAATATATTGCGCATGCACAATATCAATGCCCTAATATAAATGGAGCATTATAAATAAACAATTTCCCTGTAGGCTCTTTTATTCTTTTAGGTAGGGCAAACCACAGTTACTAAGAATGCGTGCACAGATTATATATTGATGCCTTTCCTTCCAAGATGTGTATTCAATTATGCAAACTGGTAGGAGGTGCTCTGTAATATGCTGGCACAGTTGCTGGGAAAAACATTTGCCTAATTCCTTCAGCCTTGATAATGGGGAAAATTATACCTGACGCACCCTGAAATGTCAAGAGCAAAATCGTAAATTTATTGCACCCTTAACTAATAATTTGCAAGTAATTCTTGCATGAACACAATATTCACAGACACAATTAGTTAAAAGTTTAATATACATTAAAATAATAAAAACTAATAAAGTCCGTGTCAAAATGATTTGAATATTATCAACATTCATTAATTGTGTAGTAAAACCAGCCACTCATGCAAAGATTATATCTGTTTAACCAAAAGGAAATGGAGAAGTACTCACAGAAATCAATCTAGCTCCGATCCACATTCGTTTTGGAGAAGGAAAAGGTATTAGCAAGCGGCCAACACCATATATAGCCACCGCAAAGAAGTGGAGAACCAAGCTTAATGGACGAGGATTTAGACCAGAAAGTAGAGCTATTGGTCCATCAGAGAAAGCACCACCAAGGCTCAAATAATCAAAACATGCCTGGCGCATTTCCTTACTAGCTGGGTCAGGAGATGCACAAAACACCTTGTATAATGCCCCAGCTAATGTGTTTATTGTAGATGCCACTGGCTGCAAACATAATCAGGCACCAACTATTACATTTTGCTTACACCTTGTATAATGCTTTTAGTATATTGATCTTTAATTTCAACCTTTATCATGAAGATTACAGAGGTGAAACTCCAATTCTGATTGGAGAATAATACCAACAATACCTATGCTCATGGAGCTAAGTTTTGTCCTTTTATATATTTACCTTGCGCAGGGTGTAGAATGATTCAAGATATTTGCAAAGAGCAGAAGCATCATGCAAATCATGCAAAGGTCTAAGAAGATTCCTTAGCAAAACAGTGTCAGACAAAGCCACAGTCATTCCCCCTCCGGTTAAAGGGTGACGCATATTAAAAGCATCTCCCATGAGAAGGGCACCAGGTGTGGGGAAAGGAGATGCAGGCATGCTTCTGTTTGGCATGCTTCTTATGCTTCCTCTGTCAACTGCTGATATAAAAGAAGCACGAAGTTCTTGGGGAACCTGAAAGAATCACACAACTTTCTCATAAACTCGAAGAAATATATAACATCTATTAGGCAAATAAATAAAGAAAATCTAGCTGGAATATGTAAGAATGTTCCTTGCTTGTACCTGAGGAGCTACTACTGTTTTCAAATAATGAGCCATGTCACCGTTACCAAGGGAAGGCAATTTTTGGCCAGGTACATCAACCAAACACCTGATCTCAGTGCTACTGATGGGATAAAACAAAATGGGAGAAGGATCACCCAAGATAACGTGCCCATGGTTTGCATATGGAAGATTGCAGTTCTTCAGGACCAAACCAACAAAATGAGATGGCACCTCAACCTGTATAAACAATTTTATCTGTTAGGTTATACCGATGAAAAACCTAAGATTTTGTCGTTTCAGAAAAAAAATTGTTTTCATTTTTAATTATAAACTGTTAATTTATTTTTATTTTATTTCTTATTTTTAATTACTTGTACAAGAAATTTCGAAAACAGAAAAAGTTACTTATACAAATCTTTAAAAAAAGTCACAATAAAAAACAAAATTGTAATTAAAAATAAAAATAAAAATAAAAAATATTTTCTGAAATCAAGGAGTCCCTTAGAATAATTACCTTTGGGTTGCAAAGAGAACGTCTCAAATTGGAAAAACAACCATCACATACAATGGTCAGGGGAGCCTTTGCTGTGAGTTCTTGTCCACTCTTGGATTTGTAGTGTACTCCTTTGACGATTCCATTTTCTTCCAGTAGAGATGTGACAGTTCCTTGTTCTAATTTTACACTGCATAAAATTGGGAACAATGTTAAGAATATGTAAGGAAGAAAAGGCTTCAACATAGAATATTGAAAAAAAAAAGGTAGTAAAAAGTTATACTTTGGAAGAGATGAAGCCTTCTCTCGCATTCTCTGTATGAAACGGCCATTGTGAAAGCTTCGTCCAGACACATCAGAGTGAAATTTTTCCAAGGGATAAGAGAGCTTGGTATTTTTCCCATCCTTATAAAGAGCATAGCCAAAAACTTGCTGAGCATCAATTTCATCCACACAATCTACAACAACTCACAATGTTCAGCAGTTAAGAGCCTCGAATTTTACCAGCAGAGGCAGAGGAATTCACATCTAACATTAGTTACTTCAATTATCACACAAATCTTCCATCGATCTACTTTGTTACATACATGTGTCATATTATATGCCACGTTTCTTGCTTACCTTCAAGACCCAATTCAATTAACTTGAGATAACCCCCAGGCTGTAGCAATTCACCCACAATCCTGTCTGGTTCAGTCAGGTCCCTTTCAATAACATGCACTCTTCTCCCATCCTGAAACATGAACCATGGAGCAATATCATCTATCTTTTCAGAACAATTAATCCCCTACGTAAATTCTGTTAGGCCATCTCAAAATTACCAAGAGCTTATAGATAACTACAATTCTGGATTATGATTGTTTAAGTACCTTGTCGTGACCCTAGTTCGGTTGGTCTAAGACCAGATTCTATGAAACATATAAGACTACAACTATATCTTCGCATTTATATACAATTTCATTCAGAATAAAGTACACTACTTTCTTCCAACCTCTTGAAACATCCTGCAATCAAACATGATTTTTAACATTATTATATATTGTTGTTTTCCTTATTTTACCTCAATATCAGTTTCTGATAAGTACAAGGTATACCCTATATGAAAGCTATTATCCCAAGAACACAAAATAACATCACAGGAAGGAAAAGGCTTATTATACCTTCCCAAGAGTGTAAGCAAGGGCTGCGCCAGCAACCCCAGCACCAACAATGATGATATCGGCATTTTCTGAGATATCTTCATGGTGTTTTCGATTTTCTGAAGTCCTTAGAATACTACCATTACTTTCTGCATGTACTGAATCTGGGGCCTTCTTCTTTGATGCAGAACCGTATAGAACAAACACAAGCACCAAACTAGAAGCTATTATCCCTCCCAGAATATACTCATAATCCATCTCCAAAAATAAATTTGAGAAATAAAGGGAAAAAAAAATCAACGAGAAGGATATATGAAGATGAATGAAAACCAAAGTAGTCCTCTCCCGTTTTACGTGTGAACTTTTTCTGTGTTAGCTTCTCAACTAAAAGCCAAGCCAACTCTCTCTTATTAATTTTTATAGGGGCTACCTGTAGAACATATTTGCCTTTTTTCCCTTTGTAATCCCTGTGACTATCTCATAAATATTTCTTTTTATCAAAGATAATCTTATTCCAATTATAATCTCGCACTTGATGAGATATTAATTCATTCTTGTAAACTAAAAAGTAAAAAATGGTACTTCTCTTTTCAACAAGTTAATCATGATATAATTATAATACAGTAATAGCTTCTTCTTTTTTAATTGACAGTGTAAATATTTTCTTTTATTAGCAATCATGGAGGGAGATATATATTATTAAAATGTTATTTTATGATAGTTACATTAAATTTAATATCTAAAATACATTCTAAATCAATAATATAAAATATTATATTAAAATTAAAATCTTTAATTGATATTTTCTTTATTATTTTATAATAAATAAATAAATAGTTCATAAAACTAATAAACAATAATTATATGTTATAAACTTAAAATGTATTCTAAAAATACTTATAATAAAAATGATCAAATTAATAATTCAAACTTAAGACTTTATTTAAAAGTTATAAGAAAGAAAAATGGATAAGAGATAAGAGAAGAAAAGAGAATAAAAAAAATATAGATTATAAAAAGTTTGATCTGCCGTTTAGAAACTCTTAAATATATATTATCACTTATCATCAAACAAAATTTCTCCCTCTTTCTTTAAAATTAATTCTTAAATAAAACTTAAATGTATAAATAGAGTCCAATTTATATAAATAATTAATGAACATTTTATTGTTATAAATATCGCAATAAATAATATAAAAAAATTAAACAATTAATATATATATAATTAAGTATTTTTTTAGTTTATATTCTTTATACCGTAAAATCTTATTCAAGTCAAATAAAAGTATTATAGGTAAAAAGAATTTTCTGCAAATATTTAATAAAAATAAATCTTTATTTTTTACATTTAAAAAATAGTGATAAGTGTTTTTTATTAAAAAAAAAAAAAAGTACTAACAATATCGGTGTTTTTTTGTTCGCTTTCACTTCGATTTTCACGTCGATGGGGCTGGATGTAATGCAGCAATTATAATTGCAGTCCCACTATTTGTAGCTGTGCGTCTCACAACTAAATGTTGATTGAGTGATGCTTAGCCGGGCCCAATCTGGTGGTAGGTAGATAATTAATTCAAACGCCCTTATACCCAAAATAATTGATTTTATAAGATAGGTACACTGCGCCGTGATTTTTCTGTTTTTTCTTATTGAATAAGATAATGATATATAAACATTTTTTCATTATACAAATTTAAATTATCTTTGTATACTTTTTTTCCTTTTGTTCTCAATATTTTAAACTTTATTCTTGACATATATGATAGGCTTTATGATTAATTAATCTAATTTGTGGATCTTGCCGACCCTACTTTTAATTAAAAGCATAAGTTAGGCAACATTATATACATTATCTATAATATTTATAATATAAAAGACTTTGTAAAAAAATAATAAAAATTGATCTGAAAAGCGGCCCGATATCATTTAAATAAAATTTTTAATTTGAGTTTTTGTATATGTAAAAAATTTTAAGTAGTAGATTCACCTACCACATTTAAGTATGGATAAAAAAAGACTATTTAAAAATAAAAAATTGTTAGATATAAAAACTAAAAATTATTTAGCAACCTTAAATATTACTTATTTATTTATGTAAAACAATGGCTTACGCTTTGTTAAACGTAAGGAGGATATGTATACTAGACTTTGCTTCACGATGTGTTAGCCGGTGGAGAACCCAGAAGTAAGAAAGACTTTAGTGAATAAATTAAGTAACAAATTATGAAAGTAGACTTAAGTCACAATTTTAACTTAGAACTTAAAGGCAATAAATCAATTGGTCTTTCCATTATTTGATATATGCTTTTAAAGTATTTAACATGAGATATCACTCGTTTTTTAATTAAAATAAAGAAGGAGAATTTTAAATGTTTAGATGAGAGGAGAAAAAGGAAAAAGAAAAAATGATTTTTTCAACTAGACTCGCAAGAAAATTTTTTAAAATAGAGAAAAGTAAAAAAAAAAAAAACAAAAAAGGAGAGGGGAGTGAGGGAGGACCCTTGAGTTTTTGTTAGTAAAAAAAAATTGTATAATTAAAATTTTAAAAGCATTTAATTTTTGTTAAACATATTATGATAACAAATTTAAAAATACATTATTTTATTTTTATAATTTTTAATAAAATTTTCTTATTCATCCAAATAAGTAAAAATAATAATATTATATTTTAACTTATTTAAATAAAAAATAAATTCATTTTGTTCACGTAAAAATTCAACAATCAACTTAATTTTTATTTAAACAAATTTATATTTGTTTAAGCAGTAATAGAATCTCTTTCATTCTCCCTAACTCATCCCTTTTTTTCCTATAAAATAATTTTTTTTATAAGAATAAAAACTAAAAATTGTGATATATTTTAAAATTAAAAATATAATTATACTTAAATGATTTTTAACTGGCTATTATTTTTATGTTTTTGATAAGAATGTAAAATAATAAAAACATGAACACAATTAAAAAAATAATATTATTTAATATTTTCTTAAACTTAGAACAAATAAATAAGTATATATTTTTTTATTTTTTATCTAATTTAATCAGAATCGAATCTGGGTCATGCACATAGATGTGGTGGGTGAGTCTATTATTAGAAATTTTTTTACATATATAAAAATTTAAACTTAAAACTTTATGATACCAAATCATTTGCCATTCAGACTAATTTTGTTAATAATAAAAATATTTTTAATAAATAGATAAAAAGGCAGAAATATAATCATCATTATTATAATTTAAAAATAAATAAGTAAGTAAGTAATTTTAACAGAAAGAAAAATAATTAATATTATATATAATATGTATAATAATAATAATAATAATAATAAATTACATCTAAACTAATTATTGTATCAACAGTTGAGATTTCTCTAAATAAGTTCCTCAAGTAGTCAAATCAATGACTGGAAAATTAAAATCATTTATATATTGATTCGATAATATTAATAATCTCACTAAACCCTAAAATTTATATAGCAAGATTGAAAATTCGGGATCTGTTTTGGGCTTTGGCCCTACAAAAGTGCCAAAATGTGACGGATGCATGCTTTGGCAGGGACGTGGTTTAGTGAGAGAAGCTGCATGCATGTGAATATGCCAAGCTGACAGATGGCATCAAAGCTCGCCGCCATCAATCCTAGCGGCGTAACATTAATATTTTTACAAAAATATTACCTGCTTAAAATTAAGTTTAAGGAATAATATTAACAAATTTTTATTCAAAATATGTTTATTATATTTCTATAATTTTAAGATAATAAATTTATTTCAAATTTTTTTTTAATATTTAAAGTTAATCTTAAAATTTAATGTTAATAATATTATATTTTCATTAATAACTTTTAATATTTCAGCAAAAAAAAATTAATAACTTTTAATGTGTGTCTAAATATACATTAAAAATTATAGATATTTTTTAAAAATAAAATATTTATTAGTTAAAAATTATAAAGATATTTAATGTATATTTTTTATGACAGTTTAAAATATTTAAATGACATATTTAATATTTATTAACACACTTTTAAACACATATTTTAAAATATTTTATTAGTTATTTTTACATCATTTTATTAAATAAATAATAAATAAAAATATAAATACATTTGATATTTTAAAAAATTATTCAATTATATTTTAAATTTTTAAATTTTTATTTTATATGTGATTCTATTTTTTAATTGCTCATGTTTTATTTTTTAATTTTTTATTTGTTCATATATATATATATATATATATATTATTATAAATTTATAATAAAATAAATATGAATAAATACATATTCACACTAAATATTAAACTTGACTATTATAATGAGAGATTGGGAGAGGTTATACTGAACGTGTGGTGCCTTCTCTGCCTTGGACATCTTGCCAGCTGAATTCATAAATATCATGATCCTGTAGGAAACAAAATTATAAGTTTTTCTAAAATATTATTGATATTATTTCTTAATTTAATTTTTTTTAAAAATTATATTTAAAATATTATTTTAAAAATAAAATATTAATTAATAAATAATGCTACATATATATTAAAAAATATTTTTTGAATTAATTTAGAGTGAATTAATTTCAAGTTTAAGGAATTGCATAAAATATTTTAAATAATTTAAATTTATGATTTAAACTCTTTTTTTTTACTTTAAATTTATATTCTTTGAAAGTTTTTTTCTTTTTTATTTGAACTTGTATTATTTTTTAAATTTTTTAATGGCACAGATTTTTATTTTGCTTGACTCATTTTGTTAATTTTAGATCTTTTTAAAACCATATCATATTAGATCTTGAATATAAATTTAATCCATGTTTAAGGAAAGAGTTGACTTCAACTTGAGGTGATTTATTATTTTTAAACACACATCTTTAGACTTTAGATGATGAAATGAGAAGAATAAATTAGTTAAAATAAATACATAAATAATATATAAATAAAAATATAAACACCATAAATACAAAAATAAAAAGTATGTTTTATTTAAATAAATATAAATATAAATATAAATGTATATTTATTTATTTAAATATATATATAAACAACAGAAATAAATATTATAAAACATTGATATTGATTTAAAAGCTGATTTTAAATTAAATATTTAATTGTATTATATTATTATTAATATAATTAAAATTTTGTATTTATTTTATGTTATTAAATAATTTATTTTATTTTTCAAACAATTAAAATGAAAAATATACAGTCTTTTGTCCCTTTCCACGCTAGTTAGAAGGCGAACTTCCTTTAACCTGTAAATACCACTCCTAAACTTCATTCTCTTTTATATTTTTAGTCACTTAAATAATAAAAATACGATATTTTTCTTATTTATTGTTTTCACCGGACCAAACATTATAATGTGTAAAAGATAAATATTTTGTAATATTGT